AGACAAAATTAAAAATAAATACCAGATGTCCCACTAAAAAGTGTTAAGACTCTTTTTAGCTTCCCGAACTAGACATGCAAGCACAGAAACATGTACATGTTAAAAAAAAAAATCTATTTTTCTTCATAATACAACTTAATTGTTGTAATATAATACAAAAAAATTCATAATAAAGCACAATGATTATTAAATTCATGAAGCAAAATGATCACATTTGGTGAAGATGCAGCATTGCACTTGAAAGAGCTGGATCTTTAGATTAATTTAGACATGATTTCATGATTTCAGACATTTGTTTTTTTTATGACTCAGCAGAGAACTACAATGAGTGAAACTTTTCCAACATGGGTGGCAGTGATACGGCTTCTCTCCACAGCAGAGACTTACAATGAGTGAATCTCTTCCCACATGGATGGCAGTGATACAGCTTCTCTCCAGTGTGGATTCTCTCGTGTGCTTTCAAGGTTCCTGACTGATTGAAGCTCTTGTCACAGTGTGAACACTTGTAAGGTTTTTCTTCAGTGTGGATCCTCTGGTGCTGTTTCAATTCATCAGCTCTAATAAAGGTCTTCCCACAATAAAAGCACAAATGATTCTTCACACCGCTGTGTCTTTTCTGGTGTCGTGTTAAAAGACCCAGCTGACTAAAACTCTTTCCACACAAAGAACACAGGTGAGGCTTCACCTCTGAATGAACTTTCAGGTGGTTCTTCAGGGATTTTGCCCAAGAAAAGTTTTTACCACACTGATCACAGTTATATGGTCTTTCTCCAGAATGAGAGAGCACATGTGATTTAAAAGACCTAACATGTGCAAAACTCTTCCCGCACTGATCACACGTGTGTGGCTTTTCTCCAGTGTGGATTCTCATGTGATAATCAAGGTGTGCTTTCTGTGTGAAACTCTTCCCACACTGATCACATGTGTGAGGCTTCTCTCCACTATGAAATCTCATGTGAAGTTTAAGGCTCGGTTTGTATGGGAAACTCTTCCCGCACTGATGACATGTGTGCAGCTTTTCTCCAGTGTGGATTTTCATGTGATCATTAAGGTTTCTTTTATGTCTGAAACTCTTTCCACACTGATCACATGTGTGTGGTTTCTCTCCAGTGTGAATTTTCATGTGATCATTAAGGTGTCCTTTATGTCTGAAACTCTTCCCACACTGAAGGCAAGTGAAAGATTTTTTGGATCTTTTCAGGGAAAAAATGTTCTCAGTCTGTGAGTGACTCAAAGATTTGATATGATGAGGTTTCTCCTCTGCTTCACTCAGGTCTTCAGTCTCTTTCTCATTCTCTTTCATCAAGGCTAAAACGAAAGGGAAAGGTTACAACATTCAGCGTTATGGAAAAGAATCATCATGACAGAAATTCACACATTTATGAACTGTAAGATGTAAAAAGCTACAATTTGAGACCAGAAACGCATC